ACCTAAAAAGATGTAATGAAGCAGCACTGGTCTGTCGAAAATTTCAAGTCAACCAAATATATATTTCAACATATACTGTATATATGGCTTCCTTCCTGTTTTCTGAGCATGCATCTGCTGATACTTAGCTCTGACCCTCACAACCCGCAGCAGACAATAACACATTCGGCCCTAACTGAGGTTTTATTGGTTGGTGAACTGTGGTGAGATTCAGTACAATGGTGAGAAAGTACAGCGGCGAGCCGAGAAGAGGGTAAATCGTTTCAAATCACCTTCTGCTCTGCACATGTGCAAAGGAGATCTGCTGAGGGGGAAATCTCTTAGCAGGACCCATCTGCACAATGACACTTCAGAAGCCTTAACTTCCCTTTGTGCGGCCTTACTGGAATTATCCCAAAACCACAATGGCAACGCTTCAGAAAAGGAATACGGAGGAGAGTCAGATTTTATTATCTGTCGCAGTGGAGATTTTCCTGAAGGGCTGAGGCACCTAAACGAGTTGCCTGCTCATTATTTAAACATGGTACCGACAACAGCTTCGGGACGGGCGGTAAATAACGCCTCAGTCTTCTGCTACCTACCTTCGTTGGAGTTTGCTTTATATTTGCGTTATACCTATATCCATCTTCCAACCATATGTGTGTGTGTGTGTTTTATATATGTGCTATATATGTGTGTTTATTTCAATAATTGCTTGCATCATTCCTAATGTATAATTGTTTTTAATTGTTAAAGTAATTAGCAATTGCTATCATAATTACATTTAAATCTGCAAATTAATAATCCACAGGTAACCCACACAGCAGCCCAAACACACAAACATTGTGGAAAGGGAAAAAAAGAATATCAAAATGGGAACAATAACAATAATAAATATTATAAAAACAAATGAACTTATTTATATATGCTTGCATGTATTGCATAGGTACGTAATGTGTCTGATGACATCTTAACTGTAGTGGACACTTTAAACCACAATGAATACATGGCAATATCTCTATTTGGGTTTGAAATTGCTTGTAATAAAATGTACATTTTTAGGAATGTTCATCAGAATCACAAATCATATAAATATTATAGTGCAAAGATGCCTAAAATGTTACATATAATTAGATTAACTAATTAGTGCCATATTTCAGGCACTAAGCATTGAAGAAAATCCAAATGAGCATATTGCTGACACGGAGATGCAAAATTTTATATCGTCGCTTTCAAACTCCTTAGAGAATCTATGTAAATTATTTGAGGCTTTTTTTTTTTTAATCAAGTGAGCTCTTGATACAACTTCTTGGTGAACAAAAAAGTCCACTTTCTAAACACACAGTGTTTAGCTACAATGGTTCCTCCGCTAATTGGCCTACCGCATTTCAGATACATAAGCGGCAGTGGCTGAGGTTTCTCTCCCGTTTGCGTCAGTACATTTCAAGGTGGCGTGCGCCAGTACAATTAGCTGGACACAACGCTGAGCAGCCATGTGGGTTTCTGGCCACTGGACATTCCTGGCGTGATGTTTCCAGTTAGACTTTGCCATTGTCACTGCACTCAAATCGGTGCTCTCACCAAACTAGGTAAACGAGTTTGCAGTCTGGAGATACCAGCGACCAATTCTAAAGGCAAATATGTAAGTTTTAATGAGACTAAGGAAGGGATCCGTGTGTGTATAAGGCCACAGAGTGTGTGAAGACCTGCCAAGGCCAGCATGAGAAGACAAAGATGAACTTTCCTCTGCGTTCACCTCATACTTAGCACAATACAAGAGCAAAACAAATGAATAGCCGCACAGTGGTGGGGATATCGGCGTCACAGGGAAACCACTGCCTGTCCCCCCCCAAAAAAAAAGAAAAAGAATCATTATGTGAGGCCAACACTCAACCCCGTCCAACTAAAAAGTATACAGTGTTTCTCTGAAGTACCTTCTCTGAAAATGCAGCTTAAGCATTTTAGTCATAGCTGTGCTTCTTTTGTGCTGAAATTATTCCACATTTTTTAAACTTGAAATTAAAAAAATATTATTTTTTTCTTTTTTTATGACAATAATTTTAAGCAGTGAAATATCACAACCTTATTGTGTTACACTGGTGTAAGAGCAGTTGATTATTTCCTTTGCTCTGGAAAATAAATTTATGGAACTGACTTTGGCAAAACCATAAAATTCACAATACCTGAACAATTGCAATGGTAAATAAACTGTGAATAAGCTGCATATGCAAAGGATTCTTACATATTACTCGCTGATATTCTTATATTGCATGTCCCCCTTCAAAACAGTTCTCTGATTGCTCCTGATATATTTTTGATTAACGTCGCTAAGCTTTCTCTTTATAATTGCAGCTGCTTTTCCTTTAGCTTTATTCTAAGACAAGTATTTTGTCTTTCTGTATCGTTTCAGTTCCCAATTCTTTTTTCTTTATATCGTTTTTCCATTTCTTTTCAGCGTTTTGGCCCTGGGGCAATACGGGGAAATTGCTTGCAGTGACAGCCTAATTATTGGTTCTAACCCTGTTTATTAGTCATTAGACAATTCACTGTACATCAACTGCTAAATGAATAATTTTGTATATATTAGTGTATCGCAATATTATGGCCTCGAGCTAACACTTCCACGAACCTCACGCTGGTTCGCAACAAAAGAAAAAAAAGGGGGACACCAGGAGGTTATTTAATTTCAATCACAAATGCTCGTGAGAATAGATACAATTTTTAAATAGCAAGTACAAAATGAAATTTGTACACCTGCCTAGATTTGAAAGAACCAATCCCTTTTGCCCTTATACATTTTTTACGAACCCGCCAACGGGGGTTGTGTCTTTATTAATGCTCAGTCATCAGTTGTTTAACTATG